ACTGCTATTGCTACTGCTACTGTTACTACTGCGACCACTACTACTACTACTACTACTACCACTACTACTACTACTACTACTACTACTACTACTACTACTACTAAGTTACTACCGCCACTTATTCTTTTTATGATCATGGGCGGTCTATCGATGGCATGGTGCCAAGGGTTGTTGAAACCCTGAAAAAGGTCCTGAGAGGGTTTCGTTCCACGAGACTCAGCATAATTCGTATTGGGGCGGAATCGATTCCTAAAGCCTGGGTTGAAAGTATCAGGGGCAGACAGCGTCCAAAAGGTACGAGGTGTAGACACCAACAACCAAACTCAGGATGTGTGCTTTTTTTCGGTCTTCGCAGGGGTCATGTCTGGAGGCAAAGTATAAGAAGTGCGCTGCCAAGGCTTCGCAGCTCCATCGAAGAGTCGACGCCGCGATTCGAGCCTGAGGCGCTCTGGCTTGTGGGCGTGTCATTCTGTCATGACTACTTATGGTTTGGACGTTGCAATTCCAGGAAAGTTTATCCAAGTTCGGTGTAGCCTTCTGCCATCCAAGTTGCCGCAACTTCTTAAGATGCCCCCCTACAACCCATGGAGAACCCGGCCAGGAACCGGAATGCGAGTTTGCTTCGGATATCATGTTCTCGAGAAGCTCCGGAAAGAGAATCATGAGCAGAGGCCACGTCCTATATCCTGATGGATCCTGCGAAGTGCCCCTCACCCAGGCCGGCGCAAGCGGACGGAACTGTTGTATCAAGGCTTTCGGATTCTGGTGATGGCGGGGTCTCAACTTGTCGCAACTTCCAGGAATCAGGAGGAAACAGATACGCTTCGATAGAGGATAGGCTCATCCCGCCTGGACCTTGTCTGGAGTGTTCCAGCTTGAGCTCATCCTAAAATTACCTGGTAAACCAAGGGAAACTGCAAAGTCCATGCCTGGCATTGGTGTGGATGCGACCAAAACCCGAACCCCACCCCACCCCACCCCACCCCACCCCACCCCACCCCACCCCACCCCACCCCACCCCACCCCACCCCACAGGCTTTGCTTCCGACTCCTGTCAGGCCTAGTCCTAGTGCTCACGTGGCCTTTGCCACGGCCGCCGAGGGGCAGGCCAGCTCCTGCGGATTAGCGGCTTCGGGTTTACCTATAGTCTCCATTGTAGTTCCCTTTTTTTGGTTTTAAAAAATTAAATATTAAGGATTTTATAAGGTATCCCCAAAAAGGAACTACAATGGAGACTATAGGTAGGGTTTGGATTCGAGCTCCTAGGCAGAGCCTTAGGTCTTTAGGAGTGTGGGGTGTTAAGCACACCCGAACCTGCAGGCAAGGATTGGGCGTAAAAGCAAGGGAGGGTCATTTCCCAGTTCAACCTTAGCCCACGCCCTATACCCCCCCCCCGTACGCTTTTACACCATTTCTAAAGCCACCCGCTAATCCAAACCCTATACCAAAACCCCTAAA